CCCACAGCTGTCTAAGTGGGTGCATCTAATCCCCTGACAGAGAGCTGGCATCTTTCCTCCTCTGTGGCCTAAGTGCTGGCAGGGCAGGGGTGTCTGTGCTACAGTGAACAAGGCCAGCCCCAGGCAGGTGGAAGGGGAAGAATGTCACAGGCTTCATGCTGCTCCCCCCGTGCCCCCTCACCTGCACAGGACCCAGAGGTAGACCACGCTCTTGTGGAACGCTCGCTGGCGGAAGGAGAAGGTGGGAGGTGGTGTCTGGTAGTACGTCTGAAATAGGACCAGAGTGGGAGAATCACCTAAACTGCTTTATAGCTTGAAGCTAGACAGGGACTGCTGCACGCCTCACTGCTGCAGAGCTCTTGGACAGCGGGAAAGGACTGCAGCTGGAACCACATAGGAGCTGAGGTGAGGGGGAGGCAGCCTGGGACAGCCACAAGACAGACAGACAGACACCTAGAACTGGCACAGGTGCGAGGAGCAGTGGGCTGGAGGTAAGGGGGCAGGGAGCAGCCATGGGACTGGTCAGGACACTGCAGCTGATGCTCAGGGTGAGATGTGTACACAGTGCTGCAGCTTCCCAAGGAGACCATGGCCTGAGCAGCACATGCCAAGCAGCTGTTACCAGCCCAAGCCCCTGCAGAGAGAGGCAGACCCCAAGCTACTGGAGGCAGTGTCCGCAGCAGAGCTGCCTAGCCAGCCCCAGCTCTCTGACATGTGAGAGGAGCACAGGATCTGGTTCTGACATGGGGTACTCCCTGAGAGCAGGGCCCCAAGCAGGATCTGGCCTGCAGGGCAGCTCTGCCCCACACTGGAGCAGCTGGGGGGGCAGGAATGTCCCACCTGGTTGGCAGCCACCTGCAGTCTCTCCTTCTCAAGCAGTTTCATTCTCTAGGGGGACGGAAAACAGGGCACCAGTTATGTGTCTCAGAGGATTGGGGCAGGTGTCCTTCCCCTCACACCCCCACAGGACCAGAGCAACCAGGGGCCTCGCAGGAGGGGGGAGAGGGGAAGCAAAGTCACTACACAGCTGGGCCTGGCCCAGCCTTGCTCTGCAAGCTCAGTCTGGGGAGCCCAGGCAGCCTTGGTGCGTGGCAGAGCAGGGGCTGGGGCCTCACCTCAATGGCTGCATAGGCGTCCCGGAACATCTCCCAGCCGCTGATGCTGCAGTAGATGCAGCCCATGGTCATGAACAGGCAGAAAGAGAAGAAGTAGCGGTGGTTGTAGTGTCCCACACAGTTGTTTAGCCAGGCTGTCTCTGGGGTTAAAGGTACATAACTATGACAGACCACAGGCCAAAACCCACCTGAGGGTCCAGGGCAGTTTGTTTGGGTCCTGCTCACAGCACCCAAGCTGTGCTGGCTGACTCCTCTGGCAGAGAAGCAAGGCAGGCAGAGAAGGGGGAAGCAGGGCTGGCTCCCCCCAGGAGAGTGCCACCAGTTAGTACTGCAAGAAGGATACGGCAGTGGTGGTCCATTTTCAGCACACACCTGGGAGGGAGGAGAACAGCGCCAGTGTCAGTGTCACTGCTGTGTGTGGGAGGGGGCAGGCAGCCCCCGCCCTGTGGGCTGTGCAGGAGACAGGGCAAGAAGCCAGAGGAGGGGAAAGGCAGGGGGCAAGGAGAGGGGTCCCAGAGGCTGCCCAGAGTGTTGGCGTTAGCAGAGGGAGGGTGCCCTACCTGTTGCAGATGCTGCAGTGGTGGGTGCGAGCTGGCTTGGGGGCAATGCATTTCCTGCAGATGGAGACGCCGGTGAGATCATTCTTGGCCTGCACACAAGTCAGAAGAGATTTGTGCACCTAAACCTGCACCTGTCCCCTATACCTCATGCTCCTCCCCTGTGAACCCACTGTGTCCCCACTCCACACTGCCCAGCCTAGCTTCCCCAGTCCAGAGGAGGCCTCCTGCATCAATGCCACCAGACTGCTCCCAGTGACCATACGGGTCTGGTCTCCAGTGCCCAGCTGGGAAAGGCTGTGTTGTGCTGCCAGACGATGCCTTACCTGTGGTGGATGACCAGGTGAGGTGGTGATGGCCATGTAGTAGTGGAAGACAATCATGATGAGATTCCAGTGTCCGTAGGCGAGGTGCCAGCAGATCCAGGCAGGCGTGTAGGTCTGCAGGATGAGGGGCAGCAGGCAGATGTACACGATGGCCACAACAGAGCTTGTCAGCCCAATCACCAGTGCCACAAACACCTATAAGAAAGGGGCCTCGGTCACTGGAACAGGCAGCGCCTGCCTCTTGCTGCCTGGGGAAAGGCAAGGCCAGGACACAGCCACAGGAAACCAATCTAAACCACACAACGAGATCTCAGCTCCTGTCCTGCCCAGAGACCCAGCTGCCCCAGCAGCACACTCACCCCAGCGCCGAGTGTCCCCATGCCAAGGGAGCTCCCCACACCACAGGTACTCACCACACCGAACCACCGGGTGATGTGGTCCACCAGCCAGTAGACAGGCTCAAAGAGGGAATCGAGCACCACATCGCCGTTGGTGAAGGAATTGTAGAGCAGGGAGCGGAGGCAGAGGTGCCCGTAGTGCCAGAGCTGCCCCGCCCCACCCCGCCCCCGCGGGCCCAGCCGCAGGCACTTGAGAAGCAGGCGCATCACCGCTGCGAACATCCGCTGCCGGCTCCTCATCCCTGCCACGCCACGCCTAGGGGACAGGAGCTCAGCGTGGGCAGGGCACCCTGCTGCCGGGCTGTCCTTCAGGAAGGGTCTCCCCTCCCGGATGTGCTGATGCCAGTTGTGCGGCTCCCTGAACCGACAAGGATGCAGAGCTCCCGGAGGCTGTGAGAATGCTGTTGCTGGGATGGCTATGTGGTGTGGGGGTCACAGGCCCCTCAGCATCTGGGCTCAGGTGCTCTCCGGTTCCATCTCATCTTTCCCGGTGGGGAGGGGCCGGAGGAGCTACGTGGAGAGTCTGACTCCGAGGAAACCAGAGAAGGCGTGAGCATCCAGGATGCTGGGCCAGTTCCAGGGATTATCCCAGCCCCAGCCCTTCCCAACAGGTTTAGGAATGGGGAAACCCACATAGGACATACGCGGAGGACCCGGTACAGCATTATCCCTCCTCCCCTAGTCCCTCCTTAACACCAAAATGTAGGATGCTACTTCCCCTTGCCCCAACCACTGGACCAAGCCGTGGAGGCCACACTGTGCCCTTCCCAACCTCACAGCCCCACTCCAAGAGTCCCAACAGTTCCTCCTTCTCCTCCCCTGGATCCACCTTGGACAATGCCATGCTTCAGTAAAGGAACAGCCCAGGGGCAGCCCCAGGTCAACACTCCCCTGCCGGCAGAGCCCCTCGCCCTACCCGAGCACTGTGCTGGGAGTGAGGAACCCAATCTGGCCCAGCAGACAGGAAGGCGATCTGCAGGGCTGGGGCCCTCAGGCCTCCATATGGGCAGTACCTATCAATATTAAGCAGTGAGGCTGCCCCAGGGTCCTGCCAGGGCACGTTCTGAGCCTGAGCTAAGTGCCTGCCTTGGCACAGAGCCAGGCAGTGGTGCCAGAGCTGAGTCCCTCCAGCAGGGATCAGTTTTCTGAGCTGCCATGCCCACCAGCACGGCCCCTGGGGAGCAGCAGGTAGAGTGAAGGCAGGAGCTGCAGCATCCAGACAGGCTGCCAAAAGGAGCCAGGGCTCCCCTCTGCTCTGCCTGAGTGTGGGGTTGACCCCACGGTTGGGAGCTGCGGGACAGGAGAACACCAAACCCAGCAGCTCATCCCAGGCATGGCTCCTGCACACACTTCCCATGCCCTGGTAAGAGAAAAGTAGGATATGCAAACCTCAGTGCCACCCCCTTCCCCATGTTTCCCCTTGTGTCTTGACAAGAGCTTTTCCCTGAAACCCATCAGGTGCGAAGCAGAGCAACAACTTCCTGCTGTGCAGCCTTTGGGTGGCACTTGTTCGTGTGTTGTAAGTGGGGGAAGAGACAATACACTGCAGCCAGCAGCATGCCTCGAGGCCAGCACTCCCCTCTAAGGACACACAACCTCCACATCCCTCAGAGCAGCCTCCTCACAACAGCCGGCTGGAAGGAGCCCCCAGGGGAGGCAGTCAGCCTACCCCAGGGAAAGATCCCCTGTCCCCAGGTGCCTGCAGACAGCAGCACAACCGCATGGATGAGGCTCCAGCAGAGCCGTGCATCTTCCCTGGCCCAAACAAACCGCGGGGTCCAGGTTTCACCCTGCCCATGGCCCTCCCCACATCCCAGTGGGGCGCTAAGCCCAGGGGGATGGGACAACCACCACAGCCAAG